AGAATTACCAAGTTCAATTCCCAGTACCCTCCAAAACAAAAAAAGGTGTGTCCAGAATGCTATCCTAGAAGGAAAAAAAGGCTGGAAAATCTGGGAAAACCCTTCAATCTCTGGGGTTTCAAACTCTGCTGCTGCTCAGATAATCCTGAGTGCTCATTTTGAACCAAGTACTATGCAAAGCACTTTATGAACTCATTCAATTCTTATAATTAACCTGCACATTTCACTAAGAAGCAAACTCAGGATCAAGAATAAGACAGTTGCTCAATAAATTTTTTTTTTTAAGGGAATTACTCAGGGGCTGGGAATATAGCTCAGTTGGGAGACTGCTTGCTTCATATGCAAAAGGTCTTGGGTTCAATCCCCAGCACCACACACATACACAAAATAGAAAACTATTCAGTGGCAGAGCCAAAATCTGAAACCAGATCCTCTTGTCTCTTGAGTCAGAGCTAAAATTAGCACTCTGAGCTTTTATGCTTTGTCAAAAGTAAAGTCTCCTCCCGAAGTATCAAGTTTGTTAGCCCCAACTAAACTAAAAAGGTTAAATTAAGATTCATTTTTATTTTAACCACTGAGTGAAAATGTACCTCAAATTATTATAAACTTCTCAAATTTAGTTATCTTGAATATAATTTAACTTTTTCATTTCTGAATGTGTTCATTACTAAGAATGCTTTAAGATAGTAATGTTCATGAATGATTGTTATAACTGAGATAGATTGCCTTACATCATTGGCCTTGGCCTAAAAACATTTATTATTTTATTTTATTTTATTGGTATCAGGGTTGAACCTAAAGGTGCTTAACCACTGAGCCACATCCCTACCTTTTTTTTTTTTTTTTTTTTTTTGAAAACAGGGTCTTGGGGCTGAGGATGTGGCTCAAGAGGTAGCGCGCTCGCCTGGCATGTGTGTGGCCCGGGTTTGATCCCCAGCACCACATACAAAACAAAGATTTTGTGTCCGCCAATAACTAAAAAATAAATATTAAAATTCTCTCTCTCTCTCCCTCTCTCTTAAAAAGAAAAAAAGAAAGAAAGAAAACAGGGTCTTGTTACAGTCGCGTTAAGTTGCTTCAAATCTGTGATCCTCCTGTCTCAGACTCCTGAGCCACTGTGCTTACAGGTATGCATCACTGCACCCAGTTCTAAAAGCATTTATAAGTGCTTATAATGAAGTTTTGACTCTGAATTCACCATTATACCATGTCTTGTTAGAGGTACTATTTCCAGCTACTGCCGATATGCTTGTCTCTAGTAACCCAACTGACTCTCTAACGCTAATCTTTAATAGGCCATGATACCCACAGAAGATCTGCTACTCAGTAGTGCTGTTCACCAAATATTTTTGACTCTTTGACTACCAGGTATATGCTAAGACTACAAGTGCCTACCCCACTTTTAGGCATGGTCATGTGGGTTAGTCAGCTTTTCATCAATGTGATGAGATACCTGAAAAAAACAACTTAAAGGAGGAATGATTTATTTGGCTCACTTTTAGTCCAGAGTTGCCTGCCTCATTGCTCTGGGCTTGAGGTGAGGGAGAACATCATGGCAGAGGAAAGCTGCTTGGCTCATGGCAGCTGGGAAGCAGGGAGTGAGCAAGGAAGGGGCCAGGGACAAGATATAGCCGCCTAGGGCATGCACCCAGTGACCCATTCCCTCCAACTAGGCCCTACCGTCTACAGTTTCTACCATCTCCCAATTATGCCATCAAATTTATGAATCTATCAGTGAATGAATCCACTGCAATCCTCAGGATTCAATCACTCTCCCAAAGTCTACCTTTGAACACGGCTGCACTGGGGACCAAGCCTTCAACACCTGAACCTTTAGGGGACATTCCAGACTTAAACCATAATACCATGTGACATGCTTTGACCAGTGGAATATGAATGAAAGTGACATGTCCCACACTGGGACAAAAACTTAAAAAAGCCAGCGCCCAACTTAGTTTCCATCTGCCCTGATCCCTGAGTGACTATGAAGAGCAGAGTTCCAATGTGTACTCATGACAGACATGTAGTATGAATGACAAGTCAACTGCAGTTCTGTTAAGCACTGAAATCTTGAAGTTGTTCTGAGTGAAGCCTACTCCAAGTTCTCCAGACCAGATCCCTCAGTAAGGATTCTCTAATAAGTAATTTCATTTCCATACTTGATGATAAACATTTTGTTTATACAAAAGATTTTTTTTGCATCCATTCTGTTTCAAAGCTATTTTCAACATAAAAGTATACTTGCAAAGTACCTACTATGTAAAAATACTATGCTAGAGGACAAAGAAGAAAGTCCATGTCTTGAAAAAGCTTCAGTCTTATGTTGTGGGTGGAAAACACTTAGTGGCAATTATGGCAAAAAGGCAAACTCTAAAGTTAAAGTGGTTTAAAGGAGAAAAACTCTCATTACATGGGGCGACAAGTACAGAAACACTTCAAAAGGAAGTTCCAGCCAGGAGTGGTGGAACACGCCTGTAATTCCAGTGGCTCAGGAGGCTGAGGCAAGAGGATCACAAGTTCAAAGCTAGCCTCAGCAACTTAGCAAGGCCCTAAGTAACTCAGTGAGACCCTGTCTCTAAATAAAATACATAAAAGGGCTGGGAATGTGGCTCAGTGGTTAAGCACCCCTGGATTCACTCCCCAGTAACAAAAAAAAAAAAAGGGGAAGTTCCATATTTAATGGGTCTAAAACATGAGTAGAAACAGTAATGAGAGATTTAAGGAGGTCATTTAAGATAGAAAAAGTCAATATAAGCAAAGCATGGAGTATAAACAGCAAACCACTGACTTGAAAAATAGAATAAAAGTAAGGGCATGACAACAAATGCATCTACCCACACTGCTCATGCCAGGCTGGTCTGTGCCTAACGCAACAGACAGTGCAGAGGCAATGAAAATCCTGGCCAGAGAAGTGACACACTTGGAAGTGATGGTAAGAAAGAAAAGTGATAGAAGGAAAGGAAAGTTTTTCAAGAGAGGGAGGTTCTGGGGAAATTCACAGGAATGATGTAGATGGCCTCAAATCACTGTGATGACAGTAAGGGTGGAAATGTAGCAAATGCCAGAATGCTATGGAGGCAGGATCGACAAGAACTGGCAACTCAATGTACACAGGGGTAGAAAACGAGGCAAAAAGAGACCTGAGGTACAGATCTGTGGTGGCTGAGAATTATTATTCCAAATAACTACAGTTAATCAGAAAAGTAACAATGAAAAGTAAAATAGGTACAATGGCACATGGCTATAATCCCAGCTACTCAGGAGGCTAAGGCAAGAGGATGACAAGTTTAAGGCCAGCCTGAGCAACTTAGTGAGAACCAGTCTCAAAATAAAAAATTACAAGGGCTTGGCATGTAGCTCAGTGATCAAGTGCCTCTGGGTTCAGTCCCCAGTACCAGCAAAGAGGAGTGTGTGTAAAACAATGGCAGGTAAAGTGTTACTGTGTATCTTTCCTAAAGATTGGCTCCTCACTTCATGTGAAGGAAGTACTTACTACTGCTATTTGTTTATCCTTTGCTCCACCCAGGGCAAAGGTACTTCCTCAGTTTGAGGCCATCAACTTGTTTTTTGTACAACCTCACCTTTGTGTATTTCAAGTTCATTCTGTCAACTTTACCTTCCTTGCTTTCCATCAGCTCACTTTTCTTCCTCCATCCAGGCTACTGGCTATTTGTGGCCCAACTAAAGCCTCAGCTCCCCTGTGAAACCCTGAGAAACACATGTGCTTTTCGTTTTCTTGATTTCTCATAGTGCATACTGTCTTGGAACTCCAGTGACCACATCATTAGTTACTTTCCTTTATGTTCTTTATTCCCACAACTACATTACTGGCCCATTCACAACTTTCATATCTTCATTGTCTTTGAGTTTCCTTCAATCAATGCATTGGACAAAACATGTACTTAATAAACACTTGATTGATTGACTGAACAAGTCAGTTATTCTCTAAGAACATGCATGTCATTTCATCATTAATAATTTACTTTTATTAAACCATAGTTAGACATTCAGACTTGTGAAATTGAGAAATTTTCCACTTGATATTTCAAAATGTCTTTGAGTTACTGTTGCCTTAAGAAGTTACTTGAAACTACCATTTGGTCATAAATTTTTGTGCCAGCTTCCTTTTAATCCTCTATTGACTTCTAGGTGCAGTAAACAGTTGGGTAATCAAAACTCCAAGATGAGTCTGTCTTAGAAACAGCCTAAGTTATCATGACTATTTTACTTTCAGTAATGTAAGTCGAATTCAACTATCCGTAGTACAAATAATTTAAAGTACATCACAGAAAAGTTTTTAAGTATTCTTTGCTTTCTGGAAATAACAGCTGCCTTAACTGGTCCTGCCCTTGGTTAATTACAATGATTCAGTTTTAACATTTCACTCCTTCACATGTCAAACAAAAATGAGGTTTATAAGGAATCATAAAAACAGATACCATGATGAAAAGGAGTCCAACATATTTACGGAACATTTTCCTAACCAAACCTCCCCTCCTCTCTAAGACATTTTCTCTTGCAAACGTGCTCATAGAGAAGACAATGGGGAAAAGTGCCAGAAGGAAAGGAATCAAGACACCCACTTTGCCAATCATATTGACCCCGGTGCCTCTAAGGATCTAGCTTGTGGTAAAGCAGTAAGCAATAACAACCAGTACCCATAAGATGCTGAATCCCTTTCCCTGGACTTCTTTCTCTTCATACAGCTGGGCCCGAAAGACCGTGTCCTTCCTCTGCGCTAAGCGTCGCAGAGCTGCGGGGTCTCACGCAGGTGACCTCAGACCCCTTGGCCCGTTTCCCCTCAGCCCCAGCAGCCCCACCCAAGCGAGATTCCAGGTTTCAGCCCGAGCGTCCACCGGGTTGTGCCAGATCCCTCCTTCCCCAGCACGAGCTCTGGGACTCGGCGCCGGGCCCGGGACGCGGGCGTGGGGGAGGGGCGGGGAGGCGACCGTTAGCTGCAGTAGCTGTCGCGCCCCGAAGAGCGCAGGGCAGGCCCTTACCGCAGCGGAGAGGGAGACAGTGGGGAGGCGGCGCCCTACCCC